TGCTGTCCCTGAGTTTTTGTGCCCAAGGCTAGTGCTCTACCAGTTGAGCCACAGCTCCATTTCTGTCCTTCCTGGTTAAATGGAGGTAAGAGTCTCAGGGACTTTCCTGTCCAGGCTGGCTTCAAACTGTGATCCAGCTTGAAAATTTCTTCTATTTAGGCAGCTTTTCCTTGCTTATAATAGAAGCATCTGTCTTTGGAGTTCCAGAGTCTGAGTCTGCTTCCATCTCAAGTTTTTGGTTGTTGTTTTTTTTTTGTGTGTGTGCCAGTACTGGGGCTTGGACTCAGGGCCTCATGTTCGTTCTTATTTGGCTTTCCTTCCCAAGGTTGGCATTCTACCAATTTGGACCACAGTTCCACTTCTGGCTTTTTGGTGGTTAATGAGAAATAAGCATCCCAAGGACTTTGAACTACAACCCTCAGATCTCAGCCTCCTGAGTAATTAGGATTACAGATGTGAGTCACTAGCACCCAAGTTATCCTCGAGTTTGAACAGTAATCATGAGAGATGACTTGAAGATCTTAGAGGTTTTATATGCTCCATGAATATTCACAATGAATCTTCCCTATCGATGCAGGGGAAAAAAATCCTTCACAAATTTTGACTCGGTCCTATTGAGGTTTGTGTATGTGTGTGTGTGTGCTGGTATTGGAACTCAAGGCCTGGGTACTGTCCCTTAGCTTTTTCACTCAAGGTTGGCACTCTATGTCCAGCTTTTTGCTGGTTAGTTGGGGATAAAAGTCTCTTTGGATATGTCTGCTTAGGCTGCCTTCCAACCAAGATCCTCCTATCTCAGCCTCCAGAGTAACTGGGATAGTAGCTGGGATTACAGGAGTGAGCCCTGGAGCCCAGCACCCACTGAGTGTTTTGTTGTTGTGTTTGTTTAACCATCCTACTTAATGTGAACTTTGATCCAGTCCTGGGGCGGGGAGCCCAGATTCATAAGACTTGGCGGTCTGAAACCAGATCTCTTCTACAGCTTGCTGGCCTATATCAAACATCAGTTGCAAGTGCTTCCACCCTGTTTTGGCCGTGATCATGAGGTATTCTTCATTCTCTGGGTGCAGCTGGCAGGAGTGGGCAGCCATAACGAGGGACTGGCTGAAGCGGCTGCAGACAAGGAGGAACAAAGCACCCCGCTCCACGGCCGTCAGGGGGATGACACTCTCAAACCCAGCGAGCACATGGCCTCCCACGTGCAGGGGGTTCTGGCTCTCGATCATCATGTACGTGATGGTGATGGCTGCTTCGAACACGTAGTACCCGAAGCTCATGTCACCAAAATCCAAGACGCCCGAGACTTGGTACGGGGTATCGCCGAAGGGCACTCTGCTGGGCTCCACTAGAATGTTGTGATCATTTAGGTCGCCATGATTAAGACCTGCCGGTGGAGAAAGCACACGAGAACAGTTCAGTTTATTCTCTTCTGTCCCCCCGCCCCCCACCCCCACACCTTTTTTTCTTAGTGCCGGTTGTGCAGCTTGAACTCAGGGCCTGGGCACTGTCCCTGAGCTCTGTTGCTCAAGGCTAGTGCTCTACCATTTTGAGCCACACAGCACCACTTCCCATTTTCTGGTGATTTATTGGAGATAAGAGTCTTAGGATCTTCACTGTCCCAGGCAGATTTCCAACCATAGATCCTCAGATCTCAGCCTCCTGAGTGGCTGGGATGACAGGTATGAGCCACTAGCACCCAATGGCACTTTTGGGTTTTTTGATCATTAACTGGAGATAAGAGTCTCAGGGAAAGCCGGGCACTGGTGGCTCATGCCTTTAATCCTAGCTACTCAGGAGGCTGAGATCTGAGGATCGCGGTTCAAAGCCAGCCTGGGCAGGAGAGACCATGAGACTCTTATCTCCAGTAAACCACCAGAAAACTGGAAGTGGCACTGTAGCTCAAGTGGTAGAGCGCTCGCCTTGAGCTGAAGAGCTGAGGGACAGTGCCCAGGCCCAGAGTTCAAGCCCCAGAAGCAGCAAAAAGGAAAGAAAAAGAAAGAAAGAGAGAGAGAAAGAAAAAAAAAAAGAAAAGTATTAAGGATAGCTTTCCCTCGATGGCAAACTCACACTCTCGAAAATGACTTAATCTGGGGAGGATTTCCTGCTTGAACAGCTGGATGACTTGCTCGACAATCTCCCGGTTTCGGTTGTGGCCCAGGGCATCCACAAATTTCTCCAGAAGAGGAATATTCTTCAGATTCCAGATGAAATTCTCCCGGTGGAGGAGACTCAGTTTGGGGTGATGAAATGTCTAAAGCAAAAGGAAGAAACAGCTTCTTTTTGTTTGTTTTTTTGGGTCCGGTCGTGGGGTCTGAACTCTGGGCCTGGGCTCTGTCCCTCAGCTCTTCAGCTCAAGGCTAGCGCTCTACCACTTGAGCCACAGCGCCACTTCTGGCTTTTTTCTTTTTGTTTATGAGCCACAGCACCACTTCTGGCTTTTTTCTTTTTGTTTATGTAGTGCTGAGGAATCGAACCCAGGGCCTCAGGCAAGCAAGGCAAGCGCTCTACCACTGAGCCACCTTCCCAGCCCCAGAAACAACTTCTTGATAAGACATTCAAAGCCACCGCCACTGGGATCTGCTGGGGGCTTAACTCTCCACTTCAACACCAGCTTCTTGCAAGGACATTGACCTACCCTATTTATAATAGGGCAAATGCAACCAGGCATGGTAGGGCATACCTGTAATTCCAGCACTCTGGAGACAGAGGTGGCCTAGGCTACTTAATGAGCCTTAAGGTCTCACTCCAGGACCTTTAGCCACTCCTACTCTACTTCTACCTCTTCTGGTTACTCAACTCTAACCACATTTGGCCACCTGCTGGAGAAGCCTCAGGGCCTGGCCCTGGTGGTTCTGTCGCCCGTATCCGCCTAGTTAATGTCCTGCGTTTCCACCAGGCCTTTTATTCAAAACTGCCTCTCCTGCAGCGGGTGCTGGGTGCCGGTGGCTCACGCCTGTAATCCTAGCTATTCAGGAGGCTGAGATCTGAGGATCACAGTTCAAAGCCAGCCCACACAAGAACATCTATGAGAGTCTCATCTCCAGTGAACCACCAGAAAACTGGAAGTGGCACTGTGGCTCAAGTGGTAGCGTAATAGCCTTGAGCTGAAGAGTTCAGGGACAGAGCCCAAGCCCAGAGTTCAAGCTCTCTGACCTCCACGACTACCACCAACAAAAAAAAACCAAAACTGCCTCCTTGAAAGGACTTCCTAATCATTCCAATTAAAATTCCAGCCATTGGCCAGCAGCACCTAGTGCTCATACCTGTAATCCTAGTTATTCAGGAGGCTAAGGTCTGAGGATCGTGGTTCGAAGCCAGCCTAGGCAGGAAAGTCCGTGAGACTTGTTTTTCTTTTTGCCAGTCCTGAGGCTTGTACTCAAGGTCCCAGCTTCTTTTTGCTAAAGGGTAGCCCTCTACCACTTGAGCCACAGCACCACTGCTGGCTTTTTCTGTGTATGTGGTGCTGGGGAATCAAACCCTAGAGCTTCATGAATGCTAGGCAAGCACTCTACCACTAAGACACAGACTCTTTGTATTTTTATTTTTGTCCATCATGGGTCTTGAACTCTGGGCCTGGGCACTGTCCTTGAGCTCTTCAGCTCAAGGCAAGTGCTCTACCACTTGAGCCACAGCGCCACTTCCAGTTTTCTGGTGGTTAGCTGGAGATAAGAATCTCATGGACTTTCTTTTTTTGTTTTTTTTTTGGGTACAGTCGTGGGGTCTGAACTCTGAGCTGGGCACTGTCCCTCAGCTCAAGGCTAACGCTCTACCACTTGAGCCACAGCACCACTTTCTGCTTCTGTGGTGCTAAGGAATCGAACCCAGGGCCTCATGCATGCAAGGCAAGCGCTCTACCACTGAGCCACCTTCCCAGCCCTCATGGACTTTCTTACCCGGGCTTACCATGATCCTCAGATCTCAGCCTCTTGAGTAGCTAGGATTTACAGGCATGAGCCAGCAGCACCTGGCAAGTTTTTATTTTTTTATTGTTGGTTGCGGCCCTTGAACTCAGGGCCTAGGCACTGTTCCTGAGCCTCTTTGTGCCCAAGGCTAAGACTCTATACCACTTGAGCCACAGGGCCACTTCTGGTTTTGAGTGGTTAATTGGAGATAAGAGTCTCATGAGGGGGGCTGGGAAGGTGGCTCAGTGGTAGAGTGCTTGTCTTGCATGCCTGAGGCCCTGGGTTTGATTCCTCAGCACCACATAAGCAAAAAGAAAAAAAGCCGGACATGGCGCTGTGGCTCAAGTGGTAAAGTGCTAGGCTTTGAGCTGGAGAGCTGAGGGACAGCGCCCAGGCCCAGAGTTCAGGCCCCACGACCGGACCCTCCCCCCCCCAAAAAAAGAGTCTCATGAGGACTTTTCTGTGGGAGCTGGCTTTGAACCTCAATCCTCAGATCTTAGCCCCCTTGAATAGCTATGATTACAGGCGTGAGCTGCTGGTGCCCAGCTAGCACCAGACTCTTATCTCCAATGAGCCATCAGAAAGCTAGATGTGGTGCTATGGCTCAATATGGTAGAGTACTAGCCTTGAGAAAAAGAGCTCAGGGACAGTGCCCAGGTACTGAATTCAAGCCCTAGCAACAACAACAACAAAAAATGAATGAGTCAATAAACAAAAATCCCTCCTAAACCAAAAGGATCCTGAATCTTACCTCCAGCGTTTTATCCAACTTGGCAGCTAGTCTTCCAATTTCATACAACAACGGGGGGCCAACAGGAACCTCGGCAATGGGTCTGCCCGGGAGATACGTCATCAGCCTCACCAAGTGGTTTTTGATTCCAGATCCACTGTCTAGACACACAAAATGACATATTCTGTCAACTCTCTTGATCAGTTTTGGGGCTTGAACTCAGGGCCCCACTTCTGGTTTTCAGGTGGTTAATTAGAGATAAGAGTCTCATGGCCTTTCTTGTCCAGGCTGGCTTTGAACTGTGATCGTCAGATCTCAGCCTCCTGAGTAGCCAGGATTACAGGCATGAGCCACTGGTGCCTGGCTAGGAGTGTGATTTCTACCTGTGGTCAAAATGCAGCCATGTGATTGGACAAGAGCTGTCCTGGTGAGCCAGTGGGCTCTTACCAATGGACATGAGGGACGTGGTGCTGTCCCCTTTTGTGCGGCACACGGAGGCAGTGGGGAAGCCAGCTGCTTTGAGGAACGTGATGATCTCATTCTGCATTTCAATCAGCTCGGCGTTCTTGCTGCATTCCGTGTTGCTTATTTTGAGGACATACTCAAGGGGGCTGTCCGCACCATCTTTGGGGTGTGAAATGTGAACGTGGAAGTTCTGGTCATCATAGCTGGGAAGTGGCTGGATCTTGGACACTTTGAACCCAAACACAGACTCTACCAGCGCAGAGGCCTGCGGCTCGGTGAACGTGGGCTTGGCGAGGGCCGGGGACGGGTGCGCATCTCCACTTGACATTATACCTGGCGGAAAACAAACGAGAAGCAGAAAAGGAGGCAGAGAAGAAAGGGACTGGTTTAAATGCATTCTCTCAAGACACCAGTATTTCTCTATACTATTTTTGGTTGTTGGGACTTGAACTCAGGGCCTAGGCACTGTCCCTGAGCTCTTCAGCTCAAGGTGTGCACTCTAACACTTGAGCCACAGCACTACTTCTGGCATACATTGATTGATTGATGATTGATTGATTGATTGGTTTAGTGGGTTGTGGACTTGGTGCTAATGCTCTATCACTTGAGCCACGACTCCACTTCTGGCTTTTTTTCCCCCCTAGTTAACTAAAGGTAAGAGTCTCATGGACTTTCCTGCCTGGCTGGCTTTGAACCTCGACCCTCAAATCTCAGCCTGAGTAGATAGGATTACAGAGGTGAGCCATCAGTGCCCAGCTTTTATTTATTTCTTTTTGTTTTGGTCCTGGGGTTGAACTCAGGGCCTGGGTGTTGATACCTGAGCTTTTTTGCTCAAGGTTAGCATTCTACCACTTGAATTACAGCTAAGATTACAAACAAGGGCCACTGATGCCTGGATTGTTGTTTCCTTTTTGACAATAATTTCCCACCCTTAATTTTAACCACAGCATTTGTTGTTTTCAGAAGCAAAATTAAGCTGCCCAGCCTTTGTTGACTAAAGATATTGTTACAAAGTCTAAAGGTTTTAAAACCATTTTTGCACCTGCAATATATGGGAACCAGTATATCCTGTCCAACTGTTTGGGACTTAAGACTTTTAAAGGAATTTTTAGCCAGGTGCTACTGGCTTACACCTGTAATCCTACCTACTCTCGAGGCTGAAATCTGAGGATCACCATTTGAAGCCAGGCCAGGCAAGAAAATTCCAAAAGACTCATCTCCAGTTAACCATTAGAAAAGTAAAAGTGGTGCTATGGCTCAAAATGGTAGAGTGCTGGGGCTGGGAAGGTGGCTCAGTGGTAGAGTGCTTGCCTTGCATGCATGAGGCCCTCGGTTCGATTCCTCAGCAC